GCAATGCCAACGGCCAGCATACATGGTAGTCTAGAAAAACATCGCGCAGTTTATACTGACGCACATGCCAGAGGCCGGCACACATGCTAGCACAGAAAAAAGGCGGGAGTTCAACCATGCCATCTCGGCCGTGGTCATGCCAGCACACTTGTCAGCATACAAAAAAAGGATGACACTATTCGCCATAGATCACTCGTCATCGAACTTGAGCATGTTGGCCTGCATCTTCTCGAACCATGACCTCTTCCTCGGCGACACCGTGCTCAAGTTCACCTTCATGATCTCCACCCCTGTCAACATGCTAACGAGCGTCACTTTTTTTACCTTGGTCTTGGCATTGGCGGCCTTGATCTCGAGCATCTTCTCTTGCTTCTCTGCCTTCAACCCGAACATCTTGGCTTGCTTCTCCGCATCGAGTTCAAGCCTCCTTCTTTGGATCTCCATGAAGGCGTGCATTTGCTCTTCCCTGTCTTGCCGGCGTTTCTCCTCCCTTGTGTCCTTCTTGGTCATCATGACCTCTAAAGTGGCATGCAAGGCAATGGACGCCGCCTCGCGCTTGTCCTCCTTCTTGGAGTAGGTTTTCCCCCTGCAGTCGTGGCTTCTCTCCCTCTCCGTGCTCCTCGGCGGCTTTCTCCCCTCCCCCCAAACACCTTGGCGACGGCATATTGCGCCTTGAACTTCTCCTCCCCGTTGATGATCATCCAAAGATGGGTGAGTTTGAATGACTTGCCATCATGTTGGGCCTTGAATGCCTACAAGCATATGGGAAAATGGACATACAAACATAACGATACGAAGAGGGCGCATGTATACCATGTTTTTGAGGCCGCTCACGTGACGCGCTTGGATACTCTCAAGGGGTGCACAAAAAATTATTGCACTTTTGTTGTATCACCCTCCACTACTTTGAGAGAGACACCCACCCGCGCTTGCTCTCCATTTGGTACGGCGCGAAGTTCTTGCGTTCATGGTACTCATGATGAGCACAAAGCCAAAAGGTAGATGCCTTTTTTCTCGGCGCCGACCTTGGGATCTTGGCCAATGTCTCATGAACACTCGCAAGGGAGTTTGTCCTCCGGCTGCGTGTATGCCTTCGTCAGTTTGCTTTTGCGCTTCTTGTTTGCGCCGACTTGGTTGGTGAGCTCGTCCTCAAACAAAGGCTCCTTGGTGATGTCCATTTCATCCACTTCCTCAAGGTCGTAGTCCTTGGTGGAATTCGTGGTCGAGCAGGAAGGTGTTGCCCAAGCCTACCTGGTCTTTCATGAAGGAGTCGTCCATGCCAGCTTGATCAAAGGTGGCGGGCCTGTAGGGCGCTCGATTGTCTTGGCTTTGTGTCTCGTCGGGATTGAAGGCAGTCGCGCCCGCATCGCCTGCAGCCGCTCCCCCCCCCACCTGCGGAGGAAGCGGCTCCCACACCACCTTCAAAGATGATGTTCTCAATGATGAAACGGTTAGCCATCTCATTGTCACCGGCAGCCGACATTCTGTCAAACATGTTGTGGGCGTCAGGATGCCTGTCGGCTGGTATCTTGGACGGGCGTTTCCTCGTCCATCTGGAGGATGATTTACCGGCCACCGGTGTGGCGTGGAGGTCAATGGCCATGGGCGCAGGCATGGACGGCGCCACGACGCTCACCTCCGGTCAGCATTTGCCGGAGAAGCGGGAGGCTTACGGATAGACATGAAAGCCGTGAATCGGCTGCCTAGTAGATGCGAGCGGCAACTCTGGGAATATCACCCGAGGGAGTGCCGACGAGCCCGTGATAGTTGCTGCCACGACAGCGTTGATGAGCCCGTGATGACCAGGATTTAACCCTAGGTAGAGCAGGGCACGTTGCCGCGGCGACTTGGGCACTGGTTTCCTCCCGTTATGCGGCGGCGAAGAGAATGGCGGCGGCCACAGCTTCGAGCTTGCGGCCTTGATCGTTCCTCCGGCCCTTCCTCTTGGCCGACTGCACGGCCTGCTCCTCGGGCGTCAACTGTTTCTTCTTCTTTGGCGGCGCCGCTGTCTCGCGGGGCGCGTGGGGCTTGCCTTTGGCGGAGGCGACGGAGGTGAGGCCAGAGGGATGCGAGGCCGACAGCGGACGAAAAGCGGACACACATTCATTTGGAGTCGATGCGTTGGGCCTACCTTTTGTGTCCGTTTTGATGCAAACAAACACACACACACGGACTAAGAGCAACTCCAATGGGACGACCCATTTCGTCCGCCACCGTCCGTTTGGGTCGACGCAGACAGAAAAGTCGGCCCAACGCATCGACCCAAACGGACGCGCGTCTGCTTTCGTCTGCCTGCCAACCCATTTCCGGCCCATTTTTGAGCCGGATTTGCGTCGGCGCGGACACAAGACGGACGCGTGCACTCGCCCTGTTTCCTCACCGGGGCCGCTGGTCGGTGGCACATTGGCCTCTCCACATCAAACAGCACACCCTCGCCCGCCTGCTTCGTCGCCGACGCCGGCAGCCATTTTTTCCAATAAAAATGGATACATAGATAGTTCTAGCGTACACAGGTAAAAAAAGACTAACTACTCGTCGCTTTCCGACTCCGACTTGGTAATGTCCTCCTCCAATGTCTGAATGTAGGCGTCAGCATGCTGCTCGTCTTCGAAGTCCCAACCCAAAGTTTCTCGTAGCTTTAGTTTCAATTGAGTGGCCTGCTTCCGCGAACGCTTGTCCTCCCGATAGGCGGCTCGCTCCGTCCTCCTCGCGTCCCTCTCCGTCCTCCTTTGCTTGTAGAACTGACGCTAGTCGATGATGTCCTGCGGGAAGCGTTCGCGCCACACCACCATGGCTTCCACGTCCATCTCGGCGATGGCGAGGCGACGCTCCCGCCTCCGGTGGACACGGCGATCCTCGTCGGTGAAAAGCCGTGGTAGAGGCGCGAGATCCTGCGCCCGCTGGCTCGACACGTCGGGAAAATTCATATCCCGACAAGGCCTCAGGAGACGCCACGCCGCCGCGTCGTGCGCGCGGGCCGCCTCCTCTGCGGTGTCGAAGGTGTCGAGGATAAAGCGTTTCTCGCCAAACCAGATCTCGGAGGAGAAGGCGCCGGAGCGGCGCTCGCGGGCTCCGCGAAAATCCGAAGCGCCCAGGCGGCGAATCGACATGGTGGCGTAGAGGCGGCGAGGCTAGTGAGAAGGGGCGAGACGTGTGGGCGGCGTACAGAGTGTGTAGGGAGTGCCTTCTTATAACGAGCGCCGGCCGTGGCGCGCGCGAAGCATTCCCGCGCGTTGGAGCGTCAAAACCAGCGCGCGCTAGGCCGCATTTCCCCCGCGCGATGGAGCGCCAAAATCAGGACGACGGCATGGCCGATGGCATGATCTAAAGCGTGCGCGGTCATGAAATGGGTCGATCCGTTAAGCGCACTGTCGACACAAAATGTAAAAGAAGGCAGACGGCGGGCGGGCGACCCAAACGGATAAAAAACGGACAAAAATACCGTCGGGTTGCTCTAAATGAGTTCCCGCGTTGGAGTTGCTATTACCACTCCATCCGTTTCATATTGTAAGTTTTTTTTTAACACTACAAATGTTCTATAGTATAGGACGGAGGGAGTAGGAGCGTAGCACTGCTAGCGGAGCTACTACTCATTGTTCGCGCGACCTGGAAGTGGCGCACACAGAAAAGAAAAGAAAATAAAAGCAAAGCAAAGCGAGCGCAAGAGGGAAGTGACCGATCCAGGCAACGTTGGTGGGACAGGCAGGGGCGAGCACCATCATAGTACTAGTCACCCGATCGGACAGCGTGCTCGGCTCCCAAGGCCACAATAATTTGCCTGCGCAAACGGGCAACCCCCATCAGGCCATCACCAGCTGAAGCACGAGAAGAGGTATAAAACGGAAGCCTCCGACGTGCCGTCGACTGTATCTCCGAGATGGAGTACTGCTGCAACGATCGCTGGGGCATATTATAAGAAAAAACATACGCCCCTCATTAGTTTTCAGGCTCCGGCTTGGCTTGCATTGCATGTGTGTGGTGGTATGGCCTGTGCCCAGGTCGTCAGGTCGCTGGTCAATAAAGATGAGAAAATAAAGCAGCGGGCCGGGCAGCAGCGGTAGATGCCATGCCACCGCGCCAGCAGCAACCGGGTCACGCCGTGGCGCCACTGCAGGCGGGCCACCGTTCTGACCGGTCAGTCCGTGGGCCCCCCCGCCCCGCGCGATGGTCCAACAGAACAGAACAGAAACGGAGTAGGAGGCGAGGCGACCAAGTGCGCTGCTGCTGAATGGCGGTGTGATGTACTGCTGATCTCAGCATCCGATGCCATCCCCGTGTGTGTCGTCCCACTCCCCTCCTCTCCTGGGCCAACCAAACACACCCTCTAGAGATGCCCAGGAAGCTTATACTACTACAGCAGCAGTACACCACGATTTGGTTAGCTTCTAAGCAAGATCTGTACTGCCACTCTACACCATTCGAGTAGTAGTTAGTAGCAAGTTGCGTCTCTCAGACGGAGTGTCATGTCTCATGTGCTAATGCGCACTGATCTACCTGGGTACGTACATACATGTCCGTGTCAAGACAAGCAAATGGTGTTCTTTTTTACTCTGGAAGAGGCACCGAGCTCAAAATAAGCATCAGTACTAGGTATCGAGTATCATCTGTCAAGTGGCACGACAGCCGGCCAGCGGTAACACGAACCCACAATTAGTAGCCATCACAGCTCCGGGTGGCCTACAAGAGTCAGTCAGTAGGGATGCAGAGAGAAAAGGTCGGTTTGGTTGCACTAAAATTTCTGCATTCCGAGGATAAAGATTCAGATTCATCCAGGGCGGCCAGGTGACACGAGCGGCCTCAGAATCCACATTTATGCTCCTATTTACAGACAAGATCGATGAAGAACTCGAACCAACGAGTTAGAAGAAGTGTCTGATGATCACTAGGCAGAGGAAAATCGCACTCGATCTCTAGTAGGAGTATGAACAAATTGGACGGGTTTAATTTAATTTATCTCTACCAGCAGGCAGACTGACCGACTGACTAACTAGCAACTGCGGCTAATTCTTCTTCACTCTGAGTCTGAGTCCGCTCCTCACACCTCCACTCTCCACACGATCTTCTCGCCGCGGCCTCCGGCGCCGGCATTGACGTGGGCGCGCTCTGCGGCCGCCGCGACGCGGGCGGGGTGCACGGCGGTGGACTTGGCGCGGTCGCCGTGTTGCGGGGGCAGCTCGCAGGCCTCGCCCACGGAGCCGGACCGGATGTCAGCGGGCGGGATGAAGCAGTCCACCGACAGGCCCGGCACGTTGAAGGCCACCTCCTCGATGCTCCACGCCTCCTCCATCCGCGTCTTGGTGTGGCTCATGGCCGCCTCGCCGAACCGGAACAGCGTCACGGCGGAGCGCCCCGCGTGCGCGATCATGATGCCCTCCACGGCGCGGTACTCCTCCAGGCACGAGCTGATGGTGGTCTCCCAGTACACGGCGTCGCCGCCCGAGTGCGGCTGGATGCGGGTCAGGTGCGAGTCCTCGATGTGCACCATCAGCCCCGTCCGCTGGCTGAAGTAGCCGAACAGCACGTGCCGGATGATCTCCGCCGGCCCCTCGCTCCGCAGCTTCAGCGTCTGCGGGTCCGCCGACAGCTTCAGGATGAAGCACTCCTCGCCGTTCACCTTCTTCTCTCCCACGCACCGCGCCTCCGCGAACAGCCCGGCCGTCGTCAGCGGATCAAGGCCCTGCATTGCGAGTTGGGAACTTGGTAAGAAGATCTGCGAGGTGGCGAAGAATCGAGGGGAGAAGAAGATGAAGGTGGCAATGTCGGGACCTGCAGGACGCGGCGGAGGGGGCGGACCGGGCCTTTGGCGGCGTGGGCGCCGAGCCAGGGGGTGTGGCGCCAGACGAGGCGGCCGTTGCAGCCGGCGTGGACCTTGCTGCCGCCGACGGCGAGCTCCACGTACCACATGCCGGGGGCCATCGTCCAGAGCACGAAGCCGCCCTGCTCGACGGCGGCGGCGCCGCGGCCGCTGGGCCCGCGGTTCTTGACGACGCGCGTGGCCGTCTCGAACTCGGACGCCACCATGCGCACCTTGCCCATGGCGTACGCGTTCCTCACCGACTGCAGCATCTTGTAGCCGCCGGACGCCGCCATGTACTGCTGCAGGATGTACTGCGCGGACGACGACTCCTGCGAGTTCCCAGAGCAGTCAAGCGAAGTGAGTACCAGATGCACGACCAAAAGCGGCATCACTTGGATTGGAAGCGAATCAACATAAGATGTGGACGTACAATGGGGGTGCCCTTGATGGAGAGGAGGGGCAGCGGGTCGGCCAGGTTGGAGGAGATGGGCGCGAGCGGCGCGCCCATGACGCCGAGGAGGAGGCGGAGGTCGGAGTGCCGGAACGAGCCGCTGGACCCGCCGGGGCCGGCGGAGGAGGCGGAAGCCATGGACGGAGTGCGCGTCAGGTGGCCGCGGACCCAGTGCCCGAACCCCTCCCGCCGGCCGGAGTCCTCTCCGACGAAGTCGCCGGCGGCGAGGCGGTCGGCGTCGGGGCCCTCAATGAGCGGCTCGAGCACCTCGCCGCCCGGCCGGAGGCTGCCAGAGCGCGCTATAAGCTGCTCCGGCAGGTACTGCTGCTGCTCCATCTGCTTCTCCGGCGGCGGCGGCGGCGCCTTGCGACGGCGCGGGATCAGCATTCTTGCCGGCGACGCGCTCCTGGCCGGGGTCTTCCCGCGGGACCTCGCCGGCGACAGCCCCCGCACCACCTCCTCCTTCAGAGCGGCGAAGAACCCCTGCTTCCTCTCCTTCTCCATCGCGGAACTGAGCTAGGGGGTCTAATAGGGGAGGCGAAAGGATGTGCTTGCTTCACGGGGAGGGCATGGAGAGCGCGGCCGGGCCAGGAGTGGAGTAGAAGGAGGGGGGGAGTGGCGGAAAGATGTGAGGCGAGCGCGAGAGGTGGAAGGCGACGGGGGCGAGATGAGACGGGAAAAGAGGGCGGAAAAGAGGAAAAGATAAAGGGCGGGCGAGATGGGGAAACCGTCTGACGTGAGCGCGCTGGGGCGAAAGGGAAAGAGGCGAGGTGGGGTGCGATGTCGGGCGGAGGGAGAGAGAGAGGGGAAGAAATGTGTGCGCCTGCCTCGCTTGCTCGATGCTATCTTGCTTTCGACAGTGTCGCTCACACAAAAACGGTGAGGCCGGCCGAACAAACTGTGGAGCAGAATTAGAATCTGGATGGGTTTTTGAATTCCTGTCAGGAGGATAATTGAGCGCCGTATCGCCGTCATGTGTGTTTCGAAACTACTATGCAGCCGATACATAGCAGCCGAACGTTGGACGATGCGTGATCTAACCGCTGGCCTCCACTTTGTCCAACGCATGCACGGCCGGATCAGTGCGATCGTGCGCAAATCGGCTACCCAGTGTCGTGTGTATAGCAACACTGTGTTTCTTTTCATGTAGGAGTGGTATTGCTACATGCATGTGGTGCCAAGATGGATGTGGGGGCAGTGGGTAGGTGGGTAAATGACTAAATGTGATGTGTTCTTGTATCTATCTATCTATCTATCTATCGGTGCAAAACTTCAGGGTCCGTAGCTATCGATGTTAGTCGGCATGCCGCACGCTCCTTGATTCAGGGCTCGCCGCATGCGTTGCCTTCCCTTTCGAAATCAATCAATGCTGCTGCTGCTAATAACACAAGGATGTCTTCTAAGCGTTCGAAGCTTTGAGGAAAAGAAATGGCATCTGCAAGTACTCCTGCTAAACGCTAATACCATTCCCTGCAACCGCAGACGAATGGTACCGATGCCGTTGGGTGCAACAACAAATTCCTACGGTGGCGTTGCGCCTGTCCGCAGTCCTTGCGCGTGCCGTACGCGCTTGTTCCGTGGACATGACACAACTTATTCACACCAGCGACTACAGTGTCGATTAGGTTGTTGATGTAGTTGTACTGTTGTCATGCTGCGAACGGCTTTTCCAAGGTCCTTTGTTCCGAAGCAAATCATGGCCGCCTGCCTGCGCGCACATCTGAAACGAGACGGCCCCTCCCCAACGTGCAACCATCGCTTTCCTTCCGCTCGGCCCCAGCGGCACCGCCGGGATCGCAGTGGCTCGCTCCCTCCCAGTCTCCCACCAACACCAACACGGCGCCGATCGAGCCCGTCCCGTGGCGTGGCCGGGGCCCGAGCCGTAGAGGTGGCGCCAACCAACGGGCAGCTGCGCCGCGGCGACATCGGCGGAGAGAGATGCCAAAAGCGCGGCGCGAGGACACGTGGTGCGGCCGGGCGAGACGGGGCCGGGGCGGGGGCACGGCACATGACGCGCTCGTGAGGGGGCAGCGTCGGCGTCGTCGATGCCCGGCTCGGTGGAGTAAATTGCACAGAAATACCATAATTGGGGCATTGGAAGCAGATTGGTACCAAGTTTGATAATTTTTACATGTCAGTACCAAATCTGAGGCTATACTTTACAAAAAGGTCTAAATCACGTATAAACGCGTATTGGCAGTGTATCTGACCGGCGGGGCCCGCCTGTCAGCTGCCGACGTGGCAATTTTTTTTGCAGAAAACCCCCCGCACCTCCTTCGTCCTCACGCGCGGCGGCGCTCGATCTGGATCGAGGGGAGGAGCCCCTCGAGCCCGAGCTCCTTCGCCTCCCGTAACCCCAGCCCGCCCTGGCCTCCTCCTCGCCTCGCCGTCGGCCGGCCACCGGAGCACCACCAACGGCGACTAGGACCAGGACGTCCCCGGACCCTGCCTCTCTCCTTCTCTTCCTTCTTCTTCATGGACGCCATCAGCGGCAAGGCGCTCACCCGCGTCACCTGCGCGCTCGTCGCCTTCGTCGTCCTCGCCGCCGGGGTCACGCTGCTCGCCCGTCATCACATCTACCGCCCGCCCCTCGGCGTCACCGTCGAGGACGCGGCCCTCGCCCGCCTCGCCCTCGCCGACAGAAACGCCACGGCCACCGCGCTCGCCTGCGACGTCTCGCTCGCCATCGCCCTGCACAACCACCACTGGCTCAGGCGCGCCGAGCACACGGCGCCGCTCGACGCGGAGCTGCTCTTCGTCGGCGCGTGCTTCGCCCGTGTCGCGCCTTCTTCCTAGACGCCATCGGCGGCAAGGCGCTCACCGAGGCAATAGCAGCAGCAGCAGGGAGCGGAGGCGTCGCGACGGACGCAGTTGCAGGAGTCGGCGGAGGCGCGCGCGACCGCGGCGCCGCTGCCGTGCCCGCGGTGCCGGAGCCGGGAGACCAAGTTCTGCTCTTCACCGGCGCGCGCTTCGCCCGCATCGCGCTGGCCGGCGCGGGGGCCGTGGTCCGGGCGGGAAACACGGAGGCGTACCGCGCCGTGGCGGCGGCCGGCAGGGCGGGCATCGCGCTCGGGAGCGCAGGAGTGGCCGAGTTCGTCAGGGAGAGCACGGCGGGACGCGCTCTGCCCGCTGGAGCTGCTGCAACGGAGGGGGGAGAGGCCACGACGCGAGCAGAGGCCGCGGCGGCGCGACCAGAGGCCGCGGCGGCGCGAGCAGGGGCAGCTCCGGCGCGAGCGGGGGCGGCGGTGATGCGAGAGGAGCTCGGGCTCGAGGGGATCCTCCCCTCGATCCAGACCGGGCGCCGCCGTGCGGGGGTTTTCTGCAAAAAAAATGCCACGTCGGCAGCTGACAGGCGGGCCCCGCCGGTCAGATACACCGTCAATACGCGTTTATACGCGATTTAGACCTTTTTGTAACGTATAGCCCCAGACTTGGTACTGACATGTAAAAATTACCAAACTTGGTACCAATCTGCTTCCAATGCCCCAATTGTGGTACTTCTGTGCAATTTACTCGGCTCGGTGCGTGACTTTGACCTGCCGTTGCTGCGCTGTCGGAGGCCGCGCGCGCGCGCTTGCTTCGCCGCGCCTTGACCGGGTCGACGTCGACCGTCGACGTGGGCGGGCGCCGCGCGGGGCACGGCACGTCGGCGCCATCCGACCGATCTCCTTCTTGCCCGTTGCGGTGATCCCGTCTCGGGAGGTGATGCAATATGTATATTTCTCCTTCTCCAACGGACTAAAGAGAGAAGCAAAGCTGCACGTCTGCGTCTGGGAGGTCGCATGTACGGGCGGCAGAACATGGCATGCGATGCGATTCATGCGTGGGTTTTGGGAGGTGAGGCCGCGAAGATCAACAGTGCTATCATGTCGTTGACTTGTAAGTTGGCACGGGCGCGAGCAGTGGAGGTAGGGCATTTTTGTCTTGTTGCTGTGCTTTCACGTGCATGTGTGGGTGAGTGGGTGACCATGTGAAGCCATGATATTCATCTCGCGTGCCTTCCCAACGATTCAACATTTTATTTCTCCACTTCAAGATTTTGTTAAAAGAAGAGGGCGTTTTATTCGATTAGAGCATCTCCCGCCGTGTATAGGACGTGTTATAAGTTGGAGGAGAATTTTTGGTCCATAGGTGTATAATAAACCCTATATGGGAAAAGATGTAATTAAAAAAGTTCTGATATTTTTTTCAATAAACTTGACCTTTCGGTCAGAGCAACGTTTTGGCTCACTGGCTTGGATGAGTCCGGAAGTGAACAAAAAATCATTAAAAAAATAAATTCCAAAAAAATCTGATTTTTTGTGTGGAGAAAGATGACTGAGTGTGTGATGTCCGTGCCAAATTTCAGAGCATTTTGATGTCTGAGTAGCTCCCAACAACAAAAGACAAGTTTGAGATACGTGAAAAAGTTTACTGTTTATGCATTGATCACATCTTATTTATTTTTTCTTTATGCTGAGAGCTACTAAGATATCCAAATGATTTGAAATTTGGCATGCACCTCACACACTCAATCATCCTACATGCATTTTTTTGAATATTTTTTTTAATTTGCTGTTCATCTACTGCAATTGAGCCCGGGCTCAAAATTGGATATTCACCTTCAGGGCAGTTGTGAAAAAAATCCACAAAAAGAAAAATCGCCATTGACTTCTTTAAAAAAACATCCAAAATAATGTGAGTAGTGACCGATAATAGCAAATATTTGATTTCTTTTACCTGAAGTCAACGCCGGTTTTTAATTTGTGAAAAATTATATACTAGTGCAAAAGAAAGTCAGTTTATTCTAAAAAAAACTTTGGAACTATTTTGACTTTTTAAATTTTTATTTATTTCCCCATATAAGGTATAGATACAACCAGAAACCAAGGAACCAGGAACAAACGGATCCCCATCTCCTGGTGGCACAGGTTGCCCGACGGCAGTTGCCTCCCGCAGCGCGCCGGCCGGGAGCGGGGCTGGCGCGAGCCCCCTTGCCCCCTCGCATCCCCTGCAGATGCGGCTTCGGCTCGGCAGCCATGGACACGCCCCTCCCCCGCCCCCATGGTTGGCCGATGCAGCTCTAGATCCGGTGCTCCGCATATGCTGCGTCCCTTTCGCTTATCAATATCGTCGTCCTCAACCCCCGCGTCGCCCGCTTCGGGCGACACGAGGGAGCCCTAGCCGCCGCCGTCCGAAGCCTCCCCTCGGCCCACTCCCGCGCCGCCGCCGCTGGAGGACTGGCCGGCGAAGCCGCGCCGGGCCCTGGGATGGTGGCGGCGGGGCCTTTCTTCTCCGTCCCGCTGCTGATTCGGGCTCCCCCACCCCCATCCGACCACTCCATCATTCCTGTCGCTGGAGGGCTGGCCGACGCGGCCACGTCGGGCCCTCGATCTCCTCCGACGCGCCCCCTTCTTGCGCTGCGGTGCCCTCCCCCGAGCTACGGATCCCCATCTCCTGGTGGCACAGGTTGCCCGGCGGCGGCTGCCTCCCGCGGCGCACCAGCCGGTAGCGGGGCTGGTGTG